GAGGGGCGGGGGGAGGCGGGCTGCGCGGGGGGGGCCGCGGCCGGAGCCGAGTCTTGTGGGGGGCCTAGGCCGAGCCCTGAAAGATAAGGGTTAAAGCCATCGCTATCAACGCTTTGGCACGAGAAGGGAAAATAAGTAAATAAGTAAATAAGTAAATAAGTAAATAAATAAAATAGGCTGCGTCTGAAGGAGAGGCGGCAGGAAGTCACGTGGATAGGGTCCAGGGGGTGGCTTTTCACCATCTCAGAGCAGGGATGGAGAAATCCTTTCCTCAAGGATTTGCCCCTTTCCCGTAAGCCCCGGGCTGCGTCTAACACCCCGCAACACCAGGAGGAAAACAGTCCTACAGAGCTAACGCTGTCCCCCTTCCCTCCCTGCAGCTGTGAAGCCACAGCCAAGCAAAAAGAGAGAGAAAGAACACAAAAGTATTCCCTCCGTCCTCCTTGAAAASTAGGCTTGTGAGGGAAGATAGAGGAAAAGCCTGGGAAAGTGAGAAGACCCAAGGCTTGCAACTAACCTCTATGGAAATGCACCCACTTCTCCCAACTTYAAGATCCAAAGCGAGGAAGGACACAGGTCGGTTCTTCCTTGCTGGGAAAGGGCTGGTGTGCTGGTGTTGGGTGCAAGATCTTCAGTGCTATGAACTGCTACAGCAGGGAGGCTGTGGGAGTCACAGTTCTTAAGAAACACCCTGGAAAAGTCAACTCCAAAGCATGAAATGCAGCTGACAGGATATAGAAAAGTTGGACTTTTTTTATTGTCATTTATGAGTACACTGTTTGTGATTTTTAGAAATACAGAGTCTTTGCAAAGCACTGAAATACAGGTGCCCTCCAACTTTGAAAAACCTACATTATTATATGTCTTACAGCGTGTTTATACTAGCAATTCAAGTTTGGTCTTTGTTGCAACGAGTTCTTCACCGAAGACGCAAATATGAAGTTATAGACAGCAAGACAGCCAAACCGTGTCGAATGCCACCTGCCCACGAGCCCCACAAACCCAGTACTTTTAGAGATTTAGCCTATGATGTTCTTGTACTTTATGTCCATCATGAATTTATGTCTGAAATTTAAGTTAGAGGATTTTTCCAGTTAACAGTTTCAACTGTTTTTTTTTTCTCCATTACAGCATCTAAAAAGCAAACAGATACTTTGCAATTACTAGTGCTTATGAACAGATTACATTTAAACAAAACCCAGAGAGGCCTCCAGAAACATTCAAGATTAAATGAACAGTTAACAATTGCCAAAATCTGTACATATTTTCAGTCATAACACAGGGAAACACTGAAGCACCAGTGTTGTGTGTTCTAGCTTCACTAGTGAAACTCTGCTAGCCCTAATATTCTACATGTTTCTCCCTTCTCCCCATTTAAATTTATAACTGCAATCTGAATATACAGCTGTACTTACAGGAAATATTAAACAATGCACAGCGCCGTAAAGCAAGTTTCATGTCTGGTTTTCAAAAACCGTAAGTGACAGAGTAGTTTAAGACTGGTCCTTGATTAGGTTTACTTATTTTTATACAGCTTGGAAGCGCTAAGTTGAGACAGACATTTATTGTTAACCAGCACAAATTATTTTGCAGCTTAGCTTGGTTGTTTCTTTAGAGAGTGTGTTACAACATCATGCATGAAAAGCAAGCTGTTGCTCCCAAGTGCAAACGTGGAGTTCAGCCTAACACCTTCTCCTCAGGTTGCTACTCCTTCTTCCATAAATTATTTCAACAGAACCAAAAATACAGAAGCAGCTGACTAGCAAAACAATGATGAAGTTCACCTTTTACCTTGTGCCTGGTCTTAAAACAGCGGTGTACTTTGGACCATTAGTATAAAGAGGTTCAAGAAACACTGCCCAGGAGTTTACATTCTTTGATTTCACTTACATCTTTAGAAGGAAGATTCTCTACCTTAACTTGCTAACTAATGAATCGTCATCTAAAGACTGCAGTATTGAAACAGTGCAAGACATTTCACAACTTCAGAAGCATCCAAACACACTGCCCTTCCACCCACACAATGATTAGTAGAATATTGCATCAGTCCTAGGTAAGACAGGACTCRAGGTTCACTTTAGAGGAGAAGCGTTAGGATTTGCCATCCTTTATATTTAGTGAAAAATACATAAATATGCACAAAGGACTCTTTAACATGGACTTTAMTTACAACAAATATAATCCAGCTGTAAATCTAAGAACATGTTATTGGTAGGAAGCCATATTTGCCCAGAGAACATGATTAGACCCCTCTTCTACTAGTATTTCAAYGTCTGGGTAACATTAACAGGGAAAAACCCCGATTCTGCCAGAGATCCGGAATTAGCTGAAGCTACCTAAGCGGCCTGTGAACTTACCCAGCCCGTTTCTATCTTATACCCCAGCTATAGGAGTTGGYTTTTATCTTTGAATTATCCTGGTGAGGGTGGAGCCTTCTCCACTAATGCAATATTCCCGAGACCATTGCAACCRAGATGGTAGAATCAGATCTCAGCTGAAAGCTGCCACCACCAGAGACAACCGTTTACTTTCTCTCCGTGCTGTCAAGGATGAATGTTAAAAAGACCACGATCCGGTGTGGAAAGCAGGTCAGTAGAGACTCCAGGTGGGACCTGAGGAATCCTCTGCACCGAGCCGCTTTCCACACACACAAATTCAGTCCATCTTCTCTTTCTGGACCAGCTTGGGGGCATCTACAAAATCCTTGCCGTTGTAGAGGATGATGGCAAAAGTTCCAAAGCTTGCACTTCCCCAGAACAGCACGTAGGCCAGTGTCTCAGTCCATGTATCACCTGTCAAGCGGAGATAAACACTTTTGTCATATCTCATTAACAAGTGAGGGTGCAAGAGCAAATAGTCCAAGCCTGCCCTACCTACATCTGCCATCAAAAGCAGTTGAAAGCATTTCCACAGGTACCAGGGGCTTCTGCTACACCATTTCATAACTCCTTTGATTGGGATCAAAGGGATGTTGAAAAGTCTCAGCTATTTGTTCTTAGCCCAGCATTCTGCTGTTTGCCACACTGAACAAAGAGCTCTTTCAACACAGCTACAGAGACCAGAGTCAAAATTCAAGGCCAAGGCAAAAGGTGAGAGCTTCACAGCTTCCAGCATAGATCTGGATTAGGCTTGGTCTGGCAGATGTCTTCCTATGCTTACATAGGACTCATCTGGATTGTCCTTCTGTCCTGAACTAGGTAGATATTTGTCAAGGGGATTCATCCAGCCTATAGTAAAACTAGACATACAACTTTGGTAGTTCAGGCAAATAAAACTCAGCGTTTGCGCAATTAAATCACACCTAAATGACTCCTACTAAAGTTTTGGCTTTATTTTCTGTAGTACCTCATTTCCACCCCCCCTTCCCCTCCACATTCATGATATAGTAGTACTGTCCCTCAGCCTCCAGAGCCATGCTCAGGCATGTGTTAGTATGCCTGAGAAATAAGCAAATATACACCCAATTGTTTAATAAATGGCTGCTAGGAASTAACTAACCCAACACCCAAGCAAGCTATTTCTGTGAGGTTATACTAAGTGGTGACTTACCAGCCATTAGCAAACAGATAATGCACATAGAGAAAGCAACCACCATAATAATAGGCAACTGAGGAAAGAAAAAAAAATAGTTACATAACRTAATGGAACATATATTACTTAATATCCCTGAAGATTGGCAGCACTGCAAAAGTATTTGTCTCGTAATAAGKTTGCTTCAGTTATTGATGAAGTATAAAATTTCATATAACCCAGATTTACAAAGGAGTGTTCAATAATAAGTTCAGAATTAAAAATGTATCTTCTAAGATAGGGAGTGAACAAAAATAAACAAATTTAATATATCCCCAACTCTGTTTCACTGCATGAGATGCACAGCAGAGACAGAAGGAAAAAAAAATTCTTCTTATCTTCACCAACTTCTTCTCTTAGTCMCCATCAATGACTGTTTGCTTCTGCAGAACTTCCTTTTCCATTTGATGAAGCAGATTTTCTGAAAAGCAAGCAGTTTTTCAATACCTCAAGGACACTCCATTTTCTGTCAAGGGAACATTCTGGGTTTAGTCCTATAAGCAGGTATCATAGAAACACAACCAGATTAYAGGAACACTCCATTGCTGAACGGACAACTTCTTAGTCTTACTGAAAGGAGGGTCTAAAAGGTGAGATCTGTTTCTCCCAGCATGAATCAAATCTCCATACTTACAGCTAAGAACTTCCAATCTTTCTTGACATGTAGAGGACTAGCAGGTTCTACTTCATCCACTGAATAATTACCAAGAAAGAGATCAATAGCATCCTGGAGAGAGAGGAAAAGAAAAAAAGGAACATGAGTTGCAATGAACAGCAGCATTAATCAGATACACTTCCCTGTGGTTAAAAGCTTAACTTACTTGTCTAAATCCATCAGAAAAGTTATTTTTGTAGTAACGTATTAACGAGTTCCAGCCATCCATAATTAAGCCCCACTGAGTCCTTTTCCCAGTTCTGTAAAGAGAAATTTTGAAAAAAAAAATTTAGAATATTATGAAATCAAGATGAAAATTTCAGACTTAAACTCTCTCATGAATCAACAGTTCCCCAGGYTTAATTATCCAGTGCTGCCTTGGCATTACCACCATACAGATTTATCACAAAAGTCATCTGAAGCTACACTTCTCCCACAACACAGCTACGTCTTGAACGGGTCCCACTACCCATTTTACTTCCTCTTCTCCCCCACCTTTAATTACAGTGAACAATAATGTTTTTTCTGTGGGTTTTAGTCTCACATTTTACCAGCTTAGCTKGTACAAAACTAATTAACAGTCTGAGCCCAAAATAGAGCTATTCAGACATGAAGACTTAAAAGAAATCCCCAAACATGTACRAAAATCCAGACAGCCTTTACAGGAAAGGTCTGACTTGCCTTGTGTAGTCTGTCTTTAAGGCACCAGTTCCAGCATATTGTTTGGCACAAGCATTAGCATTATCAGCCCATGCTGTGAACAGGAAAGCATTAAGGAGAGATTAAGGAAGTTATGCATTCTACTTCAGAAAAACCGCTTAACTCAATAAAGGGCCTACCATTTTTGTAGATTTTCTCAAAGTCTGCTTGCTCTTCAATCCTCTGTCCAACATGCAGAACACCTAGTCTCTAAAACAGAAAGAAAATTGCAGCTCACAAGAGATTCATTAGAAAAAATAATGATTTGCTTTCAAGAAGTTACATTTATTGAACAAGAATCTGGCCAACAGGTTTCAAATAAGACCATGAGCAACAGCAACTCAAGGGTGCACGCTCTTGTTGAGGCCTTCAATAAGACTTCAATGCTAAACAGCCTCAAGCCTCTCAGAAGTTGGCAACCAGAGTCGAACACCCACCTGAAGCTGGGCTTGAAGGGAGCGCCGCGCTAACAAGCTCTGAATCACATTAGTCCGATCCAGACAGTCCATGCAGTTGCTACGGAATATCCCTTCCTGCTGAGTCACAGTTTTACCATCGGAATCAACTAGAAAATAACTAACGTACACAATCCATTTAAGTATTTGGAGGCAGCAGTGCATGCAAAGCATACGTTTTCACATGTATATGCAGCAGCTGCCAAGCGATGCATTCTGTTGAGCGCACCGCGAGTTACTCGCCACCCTTTTGAGCTGTGATGCCTCCTGGATCTTCTCCATCACTCCTTGCCTCAAAGGAGTGAAAAAGCAACAGGAAGCTAATGACAGGTTCTCAAAACTCTACTCACTCTTGTTCTTTAGGTAGCCAGGCAAATTGAGCTACGTGCCACTAGAAAGGAAGACAGCCTCTCCTGCAACACTAGTGAACACTGGTTTTGGGTTCCACAGTTACCAAGATCAGAGGTAACAGCAGAAGCAACCTGAGATTCACCTGGTCACCAGCTTTCGACCAGTCACCTCTGGGCCTCACCTCACCCAGCCATATAAGTGGTTAGCCATGATTTCTCCAGAAAGGTATTCAGTTCTTACAGGGCAAGCTATTATTGCACTTTTTAATAATTTTACTGTTATAAGAGTATGCAATCAGATGACCCCCCCCACACACACACATTTTGCGACTACTGCCTATGTTCATCACCTCCTCATTTTTTGTTGATCAACTAAATCAGGCATTTCTACAGTGATACTAAAAAGAGATCAAGTTTTAAATGCCAAACCACATGCATATTTTCTGATACCAAAGCTGGTAAATGGAATAGGGAGATGAAGTTTAGTTGACTATGCAAATGACACTAAACTGTCCTTGTCCTTTCACCACAGCATTAAAGAGTTCTAGTTACCTAAAGATTAACAGATCACACTCTAGAAAAAATGTTACTTCGTTATGTAGTTACAAACTCCAAATGTGGTCTAGTGCATCATCCACTGTCATTGAATTTGCTCTACTACGTTTTAAAGCTTAAAAAAAAAGGTCATGCTAAGAAGTTGTGCCACTTAGATCAAGAGCCTTAAAACAGTATATGCACTTCGATTAAATTTGTGTTAAGAAGACCTAGTCTCCTTCTTGAGGTGAGCTTTGTTAAATCATGTTTTCATAATGTTTAAGTGATTAAAGSAGACAATAACACCAACATAAACTTGATCCTCCCTCCTCTCCCAAATTTTGCCTAGAATTGATATTGAATACTATAGAGAGTCACACAAGTAGAAATTTCTGGTTAACAACCTAGTTGAAGTGCCATCTGTTATAATTCCTCTAAAATAAAATTAAATAACAAAGCTTGCAAGTCAGCTCTCACTTCTGCCAACCCTTTTATAGCCCAATGCAATCTTTAGCAAGTTCCCTGCCCTAGGGCTGCAGAGCTGTTTTCAGACTCTGCTGTTCTTATTGAAACAATGCCAGCTCTAAGCAAAACGAGGCAAGGTATAGCCCACCTAATCTTGAAAGGGCACCTTTGTTTCCAATAAATCTCTAGCTCTCATATCAAGAAAACTTAGTKCTGGTGTAAGATTATAACGGTAGTGAACAAGTGATTCTCAGCAATCATTTCAAAAACAAAGGATCCTTGCCATATAGGAAACTTAAGTATTTACATCTCCTTTGAAATATTCAMAAGTCAGTTTATCCTTCTGCTTTCGGGATGTTTTGGGGCTGCTTCTGATGGTGGAGGGACACTGCATGCACTATTTGCACGTAGCAGAGGCCAAGAAGTGCYTAAAACAACTCACAGAACTGAGCAAAAACGTCAGCAATATGGACATTTAGTCCACTTCTATATAAATAAAAATAAACATGAGAGATCGTTTCTTCATGGATTACTTATGCTAGCAAGGACTAACAACTACTGCTAGTGCTACGGTTTGAGACTACAACCAAGTGAGCATTAGAAACCTAAGTGCTTGGCACCACACTGCAGGATAGTCTACTGCCACTAACACGGGCAATTACTCTTGGATGAAAACAATCACCTAAGCAGGCATGAAGCTGATGAAGCAAGTGGGCCGACATCTGAAATTTTCGTCTAAGCTTTCACCAAAAGACACAAAATTAGTTCTCTAGTCAAACACGGGTCAATAAGCGGTCTCACTTCAGTGGTTCAGAGCTGCTTGAAACCTACTGAGTACCAACCATCTTACCTAAATTCATCTTGCTGCTCTGCCAATTGATCCATCAAAATCTGAAGTCGATCCCACCTCATTCGACTGCACTCTTTATGGAAGTCAAATGCTATATACCTATTGAGAGGATCATTTTTTAAGTTATAGACATATTTCAATGAAGGTCTCAAAAATCAAGAAACCAAACACACACACACAGAACACAAGCCCTCAGGGAAGAACAGTGAGGGGGGATAGCAAACAAGCTGTCCCCAGACATCAGTTCAGTAATAGCACCACACAACTAACTCAAGGAAAAGACAAAGAGCTATGGATCTGTGGGAGTTTAAGTACCCCCATGGAAGTCAGACAAAGCAAGCTGGTTGTAAATTGTGTACCACACTCAAGATTCCTATGAAAAGATGGAATTTAAGTGTATTCCCTCTTGAGCATATTCTCTCTTGGCCCTTTTTTAGCACTCCCTTAAAGTCAATGAACCTTCTGCCAGAAGGTAGTCCAATGGGGCCCAATTTCTCATCCCAAAATACAGAAAGAGTGATGTCTTTCACAGCATCCTATTATTGCTACATGGCATCACCAAGACCCTTGACATCCCTTCTTTATTCTGCCCATCTCTTCTTTGCCCCAGATTCTTTTCCACAGTCTTCCATTTAGGATAGAAACTCTGAGGAAGGAGCATTGGTCATATGCAGGTTACTTCACTAAAAACAAAGTCCTGAAACAAATCCTGCATTTGTTCAAGGCCCTAAAGCACTGCAAGGAGCTTCTGTGGGTCTCTGGCACAGGCTCCTTTTCCCACAGGAATGGAGTGCCTTTCACACACACCTGACCATGCCATTTGCCATGCTGTTCACCATTTTTGCAAATGTTTGCTCAAGAGGCTTCTCTGAACCCTTTTGATTGACCTGCAAGAGAAAAGAATGGATGGTATTACCTGCCAGCATGCTTGAAAAAAMCAGCTTTCTCAACAAATATGTATGAAATCTTACCAAATTAACAATCACTTGTTTCCCATAACTAATTATTTGCGAGTCAAAATGTCTTTGGAAACCATCCATCTAGAAAAAAAGAAAGAGRTGTTGACACATTTATGCTACTGTTCTGCTATTAAGACCTGCTATTTATAGAGAAATGTCTGTAATAACCCCTTTTGATGAAATAGCACAGGCGCTTTTCTAGTAAAAGTAGTTATTGTTTTTGCTGTGCTAATAYATTTTTACTTTCTATCCCCAAGTCCACTCAGTTCTGCTTAAGCAATCTGCAGATACTGAATATGAGGGAGCTACAAAGAAAACTTATTCACACTCGTATTCTTCTCAGAACATGAGCTCAAATCAAAGGATAYAAAGGTTTCTTCTTATTAAGCAACAGTAACAAAATTATTTAGTACTGCTAACTTTTTTCTTCTGATCACACCTTGTCACCCCTTCACATCCACGTAAGCCCATACATATATTAAGTCCCCAAAATGCAGTGAACAGTCACATACATGATTAACAGACTTGCTGATCTGTGGCTTTGGTTTGTACTTGAGGTTTGGTCTCTGAGACCAGAAAAAGGGAATTGATCCACGGGTCTGCAAGAGAATGGAAATAGTTTAAACACAAGTCCTACAAACAGCAATTGCCCATTAAAAATAAAACAACCTCATTTAGTTGGTATCCTCCCTTGAATATACTTCAAGAGGACCAACTCAGCCCAGCAAGAAGAAAGCTGGCCAACGAACCATGCAAAAAATAAATAAAAAGCTTATGCCATCTTGCAGTTCAGTACATGGATCTGACCTGAACAAATGAGGCTTTGCTCCCCTTGTAATGCACTATTTGTTCTGTTTCCACAAAGTTAGCTGCATGTCCTTCTGAATCAATACCTAGGTAGGTAAAAAAGGGAGAGAAAAAAAGCCCTCTCGTTACCCAGCTCACAGACTGGCTGCAGAACAACAGGAGGTCAGGAAATGCTTCCTACCTCTTCCTAGCAAGTGCTCAGAGAAAGCAAGAAAATACCATGGAGCTATTAAAAGATGGTAAATTAGCACAAATTTGATCATGAGCCACATCAAATTTGTTTTGCTGAAGCAGGCATGCACCTCAAAAGGCCATAAATTTAAGAAAATTGATAATTACAGTCCTAGAAATTGAGTGGCTTTAATGCAAAATAAAGTGAGTATTTTGACACTGAAGTAGCCACATTTCAGTAGCAACAGTTCCTAGTATTTTCTTCAAAACAAAGACTTCTTGGCACAAACTACTGTTGCAAGTAGTTTCTATTGAAATCCTTATACCAGTAACCTCTCTTAAAGAGAAGCCACATAAATGGGTGGAATTTGCGTTATTTTTAAATCAGTTTGCTCTCTTACCTCTTACATAGTAACGTACACCAGCCCTGAAACAGCTTCTTCTGGAAACAAGCAGCCAGTCAAAACACTTTCCATTAATAGAACAAGAGTGCATAGTGATGACTGATGAATAATGTGTTAAGAAAAACAAATTTAGTGCTTTTTTAATAAATATAAACAAAGAGGTAGAAAAGGTCAAAGAGCCAAATTATCACATTCCATACATCCAATCTCATGCATAACTTTAATTAAACTACTTTAATGAACTCTTGCCTCTGCTGTGCTTTCCCCCTGTCAAAGAAGGAACTTTTTCTCCCCTCTTTAGACTTGCACAAGARGGAATCTCTCATGCTGTTAAAGCTTTGCTCTTAAGCACAAGATAGATGCATCACATTTATACATTCCAGGACTAGTAGTAACACAGGCTGGGTTTCAAACCCTTACCCTAAGGGCAAGGACATGCTTGAAGCTGCTTCTGRACCTCTTCTGCATACCTTCCTTGCTTCCTCAAGGCCTATTACTTGCTCAKCTCAAAACACAAACCTCTCTCATACGCTCCTAAAAGGAATCCCTAATTTCTGCAGATCAGGTTCCGCCTGTGCAYGCAGCCTCTGCAGATTTAGAAGTTACCAGATATCCAGAATGYCGGTCCCTTCCCTAGGGCCAAGATCAAACAACAAGCAAGCAGAAGTCATTAACAAATTTTCACTCTTTAAAACTTTGCTCTTTCCAGCTTAAAAAAAAAAGTCTTAAACAGAAAATCATTAAGAATGATTTCAAATAGATTCATATGCTTCCATCCTTTGTCCCCAAGAGCCTAAACCCACAATTTTTAGATAAGCACAAGACAGACATGAGTAATTTAGCAAGCTGCAGGACTGGCACACTGCACTCTCTTCTGCAGCAGGCTGAGACACACATTGTCCTGTGGCTGGACAAAGCAGAGAAACTGTATTTTCTTTAGAGTGGCATGTTTTATATTTTCTCCAAATTACAGTCTCATAGCAGTTTCCTGCAGAATACTTAGGAAGATACTTTGCAGCAAGACAACATTCCTTAGTTTACTACTGGGTGAAGGCAGAAAGGAAGAGGATCTTCCTTTTGGAATAATTCGCTAGAATTTCAAGCCCACCAGACTGAGGAAGAACAATGGTCAAAAAAAAAGCTACCAAAAACAAGCTCCAAATCATGCAAATAYTAATCTCTCCCTCCTCCTAAGCATTTGACATTTCAAGGCTGCAAGGGAATACTTGCAGAGGGGGAAAACAAAACAAACAAAAAAATCCACAACACCTAAGGATTCAGACTCTAGCCAAGACAGCTGAACAAAAATATATTTAGGTTTATACTGAAACAACTACTTGTGGCACTACTGCTGAGGCAGTACTATCTCCTAGTGTATCACTAGAAATCCAGTCTCTTAACTTATTCTTGAGAATTGTATCTGAGGCACTTGGTTAGTATTTAAATTATAGCAATGCATACATTACTCACACTAATTATTTATGAAGTGAAATTAGGCCAGAGGAAAGTGTTAATTGCAACCACCCAGCCTTTCCCTTACAAGACTTGCAGAGGCAGGATAAGGATGGGGTTGTTTTGACAGGTACCTCTTCCTGTCTTTCCTCGTCTCTCCACCTACTCCCACTGCAGTTTCCAGTACACAAAGTCACAGGAAGGGCTGGAGTTTTCCAGCAATAACAGCCCCATGAGAAGAACTGCTTGAGAGTGCACACCTTGTCCTGATCATACTCGAGCTGCAGCCTTTGGGATGGAGTGGCCAAGAGCAGGGCTGCACGGGCTGCTCTGCCTGCTCTGAGCCACCCCTTTTTACACTCCAAACTCAATTGAGGAAGGGACCTCAAGACATCTAGTCCAACCCCCTGCTCCAGCAGGGACACCCTGAGCACGGGGCACAGGGTGGCAGCCAGGCARGTTTGGAAGACCTCYAGAGAAGGAGACWCCAGAGCCTCCCTRGGCAGCCTSTTCCAGGGCTCCATCACCCTCCCAGGAAAGAAGTTCTTCCTCACATGGAGATGGAGCTTCCTGTGTTTCAACTTGTATCTACTGCCCCTTGTCCTGGCCACCAGTGAGAAGAGTTTGACCCCTTCCTCCCTACATTCTCCCCTTAGGTACTTACACRTATYGATCAGATCYRCCCCCAGTCTTCTCCAAGCTAAACAGGCCCAGCTTGCTTAGTCTTTCCTCATAAGAAGGATGCTCCAGTCCCTTCATCATCTTCATTGCTCTATGCTGGACCCTCTCTAGAAGCTCTACAAAAATATAGCTTACTCTCACCAGCAAGCTGTTCGCCTTAGACTAACAAATTCAGCACCAAGTTTTTTCAGCACAAAGGGATACATCCATGCATCACTGGTGTAGCAAACCTATGGATCTGAAACAAGAACACAGAACAGTTAAAATATTAGACACTTGTAGCCAAAATGATATATAACCTAATTACGGTTTGTCTATGAGTTAGTTTCAAGTTTTCCAATATCAACAGTTACAGATTCCAAATCTGGTTATCCACAGCTGTTGCTACAGGAGGCTGCCTTTAGTCAGTATTAGGTCAGGTTTCCCATCATATACCAGTTACCTCCCTTTTCAGCCTCCATCTTTTGCCTCATCCTACCGTTTCCATTACCCACACTTGACTCATCTCCCAGCATGGTTTGGGCAGGACCATCCAAACCACGTACTGAGCAGCCAGCCCCAGGCTTCCCCCTCCCTGCGAGGCCTGCATAGCAGCCCTTTGTTAATCCACATCACCATTGCTCAGAAGAAACATAGTACAGTCCAGCATTCTGGAACAGTGCTATCCAATGCACTACGTCTGCTCAGATCACCGAGCCAGGAATAGAAACTGTGCACCATCCACCTGGATAAATAATATCAGCAGAGTACCTTCAGATGCAGGCACCTGCAAAGGGACAGCTTTGCTATGCACTGCTGAGGGCACTGGTGTRTAGGGGTATGTTAGAAAGTTACAGGCTGTCATGGTAAACAGTTTTCATTTACACATAATGTTTTCACTAATCTGAAGACAAATAGCCAAGTTATTTCAGGTAATCTGGCATGAAAGAATTACAGGAGAGTGCTGTATGCATTTGGTACCAACTGTATCCACTGTGTATCAATATCATCTTTGCACAGAGATTACCTCAGGTTGAGCAGCAAATTCTCTCAGAAGATGCCCATTCCAAACAAACCGCGGATCTGCCTGCAGGAAGAAAAAAGTTTAGAGGCTTTAAGTYCTATTGAATGCAACACAAACATTGAGTTGCACTAAGGCAAGTCTAGGTGAGCAGGTGGACTCTGAGGTGGAACATTCTTCTCTCAGTGCAAATCAAATAACCTTTTTATTTATTTTTTTTTTTTAAATGTATGAGTTGCTGCTAACTCCCTCTAATCTTTAGAGCAGTTTGGCCTCGGACATACTAAGCCATTTACAATTCAGCTGCAACACCAGCAGAACATTCAAGTAGCTGCCCTAAATTAACAAGGCTTGACAAGATTATCAAAAATTAAGAACAAGAGCAATGCAACATTCTTAAAACAGGCAAAAAGTAAAGATGCAACCAGGTTCAAAAGCAACAATCAACAATTAAGAACTGAAAATTAAATAATATTAGTAGTTGAAGAGGAAAAAAGTCTTCAACAATCACATAAGCCATCCTTCTTAGCTCTGTATTTCCTCTTCCAAATTCCCTTTAAGGTCTCAAGCAAGGATCTGTGTGTGTTCCAAAGAGCTACCAGGTTAGYCACAAAGTGAAAGCCTCTGCAGAGTGCAAGGAGAGGTGGCATAAACCTCATGGCATAAGGCAGGAAGATAATCCATTCGCTCGAGGAGGATGTTAATTCAAGCTCGGTGTTGGAACAGTCCTATGTCTTAACAGCAAACTGCAAGTACAAACATCTCCTGAAAGTCAATTTACTACTACTACTATTACTACTACAATCTACATACTACTTTTTTAGCAGAACAACCTCCCTCCCAATAAGTAACCAAACAGGAGAACTGCTTGTCATGTGGATGAGTCTATGCTAACATAACATGAGCTTTTCTGCCTCATGTCTTGAGGACTGCTTGTTATCTGGGATAGTCCTAAAACAGCTTTTGGACTAAGGAATCTGGGTCTGTTCACAGGCTTCATTACATGCAAATARCCTTGCAAGCAGGATCCGAACTTGTTCGAGGACCTCATGTGACACTTCAGTAGGGCTGTGGCAGCACTGCTGCCTTCTACCACTCCCACCAAGAACAAACTCTAAGCCAAACTTCTCTTGCATCAGTGGAGATTTCCCAAAACAACCATCAACCTTTTGTTCTGCCATTATACTGGTACAATAGGAACACAAAGTTGCATTAAAGTGGTTCTAACTAACAAATACATCTCTTAACTTAATAATGAACCTCCTTTATGATATACTTTCTTTCAAATAGCTGCTTTGAGGAGCCACAGTTTTAAGGCAGGCCTATCCTGTGTCAGCAACTGCGCTCTCTGACAATAGCACTGCAAGAGGTGTTGATAATKCAAAGTAGTTCCCCAGTATAAGCTAGAGAAAAATAATTGAGGACAAAAAAAAAAAGCACTTAGAAGAAAGACTGCACTACTCCCCCAGTTTAGATAGGCTCATTAACTCTGAGAAAGTCCTGACAACTTCAGTCATCTCATTCGCAAAGGATGAGAAAGTGCTCCTCACTTCTGGGGTTTCAATATTTTGGAGTGTAAGCAGTTCCAGCCTTGCTCATGTTGCCAGTTCAGTTATTTACCAGGTCAAGGATACTGGCACTCCAAAGCATAGGAGTGTTTTTTGGTTTGGCTTTTTAAAAGATGAAATTGAGTTTGACTATGTGGTTCTGTTATCTAATATATCTAATATATATCTAATGGTATGATAAATGTCAAACATATGGAAAAAGCACAGTTCAAAATGCAACATTTGAGGCTCCAAATCCATGGACCCAGAGGTCCAAAGGAAAAAAAAAAATTGAAAACATTTTGAAAGAGAATACAAACTCAAGAGGTTTATTGCACCTCAAGAAAGAGTATGACATTTCCCATTTACCCCAAATTTAGGGGAGAGCACCCCAAATTTAGAGGAGTTCTCCCTAGCTTTTGTTGCAATTMGAAACCTTGAATATTGAGAGGCAATTCCCTCCCCCCCCTCCTCTTCAGCTTCCAATAAAGTAGGCTTTTCAGAAAGGTGTTCTGAGCTGCCTGATCTAAAATTTGCAGTCACTTCTAAAGAGGTTTCTAGACCTTGTGACTGCTACAAAGCTACAAGCCTGAGGAAGGGCAGGCCGGTACATTCAGCCATAATCCTTTAGGCAGGGAAGAGCAGCACCGAGTTGCCATGCTGGAGAACAACAGACTAGCTAGTTCCAAGCTCACTCTAAGCAAATAAGGATGCAAACTCAAACAGCAGCTTGGCTCGGTCTACGTGGCACACTTGCTTGGCTGCTTCCTTTCCTCTTGTGGCCACCTTCTTTCTCAGAGAACTGCCCCACTACAGGTGGATTGACAAGACCACAGAGACAGTGTAATTACACAGGTCAGGAACACAATGCTACCCATTATAATGATTTGGATCTAAGCAACAAATGTAAATCTCTGACTAGTTTAACTTAATCATTAAARCAGAGAAAGCTTTTTTAGCTTAGAGGGCTATAAATTCCTAATACCAACTGCAGAAAGGTACTACACTACCTGGCTTAAAAAGAAAAGTGGAAGTTTTCAGCTGAGGTGTACTAGGAATGCAACTTTCACCAATATCATTCTAAGCCTTGCATGAAGCTTCCTTCAGTTGGTGATCACTTGTTTTGACACCATTTAAGCATCAGCTGTATAATCTAAACATGTACCACAAGGAACTGGATGGCAACAAGCTAGACAAGGCGCAAAGCAAGATGAAACCCTTACCCTCTCTAGGAGGCTCATTTCCTGGAACTCGGGGCTGGTGTTTGCTAACCGCTGCAGAGTGTGAGTTAGGTCATAGGTGGTCGAGAAGTAAAAGCCATCCACGCTCAAGACATGACTGATCATTGACAGAAATACCTTATTGTCCTGCAACTGTTGGGAAGAACAAAAGAGAGGTGAGTGGGGAAAACGCAGCTCATTTAATATCAAATTATTCTGTTCCACAAGTTTTCTTTGAGGTGATGATTTCAATTTTGCTGGTGCTCCTACTGGAGCACATAGAGCATCCCAACTATAAGCAGGGAAGCAAGAGACTGTAGCTTTTATAACAGTGCACTGTAAGTTGTTGCTACTGTGCTTGCCCAACTCTGTTATAGTACAGTAGAGAGGGGACAACAGTGCTCCTACGATAGTTACCTCAGAGATGGAGCTAGTAGAGCTAGTGAGAGTAAACTGCTATTAGGGACTCCCCAGCAAAAAAGGAAGCCATCATTTGGCCTGAAAGTCCTTCATCCAGAGAGGAAAAACTGCCTTTGGCTTCACTGGCTTGGCACCCTTGCCTGCTCTGCATCAACCTACAACATAACTGATTTGAGATAAAACTTCATCCTTTTCCTCCCACTCAATCCAATTTGTCCCAGCTTGGCAAGCATGACACAGAACAATTCCATAATTTAAGCAAGATAAGATACTTAAACAGCCTCTAAAAAACATCTGTCTGGCTATAACAATAAAATCATGGGAAAGAAAATAATCAACAGGAAGAGAGGCAGTGATTTTGTGGACTGGCTCAGAAAGACAGTTGTACAACAGATGGTGCAGAAGGCGAGTAAAGCCTCAGAGGGGAAAAAAACACCAGATTTCAGGACAAGAAGAGATACAGCAGGACTGTCTCCTCCTTCCCTCATCATATTCAGTTAAAAGGCGGAAGAATGCAACATGTATTTCAAACTCAGGGTAGTCAATATTCTAAACTGCCTGATATTGTCTTATCTTAAGTAACTTTTCGCACATTTATATCTGAATATTATGCCAATTAGAGAGAAAAGTATGGTTCACACATCTTCTTAAAGTTTCATCACCACATTAGGTCTGATGGTGATGAAGACTAATACAAGARATCAGAAGGAAAAAGTGAAATTTTTCTACTGTGACAATCCATCCACTCTTACCTGAATATCAGTTAAATGCAGCATAGTCTTTTTGTAGGAGAGGATGTCAAAGTCTGTTGCTTTCCAGATCACATGACTGAATATCTCACCTACTTTCTTCTTTTTTGTTATTACAATGAGATATGTGCCTGTAAAACAAAGTTGAAATTAAAAAAAAGTATATAAATATGCACACATTAACAAAAGCATCTAAAACTATCCCAAGCAACTCAAACTGACAGAAAACGGAAGTTGCTTCAAATTCCAGACTCCATGTATTTCTAAGGAGAATAGCTTTAAAGAAWGCAGGTTGCTTAAAAGCACAGGGAAAAGAACAGAATAAATAAATAAAACCCCAGTATCAACACTTAGGAGTTAGTGATGTTTATAGCAGCAGTATTTCTGTTTCTTTTCCAGATCCTGATACTATTAAGCCATTCATATTCCTCTATACTCACAGATGACAAACTATTAATAAACACTCCAAGTTTCAGAAAAAAAAAAAAATCAGTGTCAGGAAAAACGACATCAGCAGAGACAGGCTAAAAGTCTTTAAGAYTGTAAATACAGGAAGGAGCCAGTGCCCTTGGTCTCAGTTTAGACAGTGGAGAGCAAGTCAGCAGCACAATAAGAAATCTGAAAGCCCTACTCATCTCATCCTGAAAATGTCTTTGCCCTAATACATTCAAACAGAGTAGGAGCGTGTGCTTGTTTTATAATAATTTAGGAGGGGGAGTTTGTTGTTTTCCTGATACCTAAGTAACAAAGCAGGAGAAATGCATGAGAGTTCAGTCCCTCAAAGTAAAATCCTTCCTTTGGGGGAAGGAGTGTGRGGAGAAAATTCTTAAAACCACCAAGAAGCTAACTTAAAGCACAAAGTCAGTGTCTTTAAGTTCTGGTTTTGCAGCATTTACTTGGGTAGAGTATTCAAGCACTTAAGAATGCTTTATCATTTTCCCATCTCACACGAAGTATTGCTTGTGCTGACCAAAGAAAAGCAGACACCTTATTGAAAGACAGTTAGCACTTTATGTCCACAATTATTTCATAAAGATGTTGCACAAAAAGCTGTATTGAATCAACATGACTTTTCAATATTGTCCTTTCCTATCTGGGTGGATAGCACTTGATTAGAGATTCCAAACACTGAAGATACTACTTCCGCATTAGGGGCAAAAATGCTAAAATAGGAAAACAGCATTCAAGCTTTTTAAAGATTTATGAGATACAGAACCCATTTTTATTCACAGAATACAGTGAATTGCATTGCAGAGATGAGCATCAACCTAAATACTATTTATATTTAGTTGACAATACAGTTGTCCTACACTGTTTTTAATGGAGTGGGGAACTGGAGCCAGGGGGAAGGAAGAGCAAGGCACTGACGAAGTTACATACTTTGGTACCATATTCAGTTACATGAACAGAATTCATTACCAGACCTGTAAGCTGTGAAAAACACCCTTGAGGGAAAGTGGACTTATAAAATAACCAAGGCTTGTCGACTGCTSCAGACAAAGACATCCATTACAAAGCCTTTGCTCTGCAACATCTAAAATTCACAATTAGGATATGAACATATAAAGTCTGGCAATTTAAGACCCTGTCAGAAGTCACTACATTTAACACAGTGGTATTTTGCTTTCGTTTAATAATTTCAAAGAGTAACTGAACTTAAATGCTTCCTATGTACAGAGATTCTTACTCAGCATGCATATTCCTACCACATCAGCTTCCAGGCAACTTTTGTCTCAAACTCTAAAGTCTGATAAAAAATAAACAYCAGCATTCAAAGTTCACAAAAATGCATGACAGTATGCATCGGTTTTATCTGTGGCAACGCCTACTCACATCCAGTTCAGAGCTCATTATGAAATAGTTAAMTGAGTGGACAGTTTGTTCTTGCCTCATCCGTAAATCCATAAAGTCCGCATTTGTTTTGGTTTGTCCTTTTTCTTTTCAAGTGYTGAATTTACTCCATACTGGGAGAATCATTCCAACACAGCCATTACTTCAACAACTGCATGCACTCGTCTATCCCCGTTTCTCCCAGCTATTTGTGTACCAGCACTATTGATTTGAGGTCAAACTTCAAAAAAAAGCACTTCATGTTACGACAAATCCTGCRGCTAAGATGAACACAGTTAAAGAGCAAGCAGATGAAGGTCCCAAATACACATTCTTTAAAACGTGGCAAGCTGAGGATTAACTACCTTTGAATACGCTTAAGACAGACATGAACATCCATGATTAACTATGTTTTGATACCTTCATTCTATAGCAGCCACAAAAAGTTTACAAAATGATCCAATCAAATGAAGTGTAATCTTAGGTACCCTGSAAAGACTATTTTTGTTTTAAAGGCTCTTTAGCAACGTATTTTGCTTCRATCATTTTAAAAAGCAGTTTGGCTTTCCTTACCTGCTACCAATCGGATTGTACCCAAAATACCAAATATAGGCCTTGTAACAGCTGAAGGAGGAATATCTTTCTTAACTGAAAAGAAAAAGGAAAAAAAATTAGAATGTTTCTTCCMTGACTGTCACAAAACTATCACGCAGCAAGCTGGTCAAGTCACACACAGGCATAATCCCCTTCTTACCTACCAGATGAATTCTGCAATGAAAAGCATCAGAAATAAGCCTCTGCCATATTACACACAAAGCACTATTTTAAAAAYGAACAGCAATTCAAGAAAACAAGTTCTCTCTCTATCTTAACACCACTTTCATCTTTTGAAGAACTTCTAGAACTGCCTGGAGTAAAATACTAGGTGAAGGGCCTAGAGAGGCCTATCTTGAGGAGCACTGGTGAGRAGAGTACCTGTGAGGGTGACTTCAGTGGAGACTCTGTCAATAGCGAGCACRTCATCAGCTCCATCATCACAAGCTTCCACATAGAATTTCTCCGGCGTTATGTGCCTGTAACAGAACAGATAGGAGAGAAAAAAAAAAATGTTTAGCAACACTTACTTTGGATTTATTGTTCATATTTAGGTTCCTTACCACCTGCAAATGAAGCCATCAATTTGAAAACTCATTTTGGTTCTAAAAACAATTCTCACTTGGTTCCTACTCCACCACCAGTGATGGGGACAGAGCATAATAGAACCAATGAGACTGATCAGTCACYACAAAGTCCATGGCTGTTTTAATAACCCTAAACCTTGTTAGGAACACTGGAAGAAAAAGACATGACACTGAGTTCACATATAGACTATTTCCTTCAAAATAAGAGCATTCAACRATGCAGTGAAATGCATCGTGTAATTCATGTAAACTTGAAAAATCACTTCCGAAGTCCAATAATCCGAAAACAAATTGGAGATTAAAAAAGATTAATCAAACAAAAATCCACACTTCTCATACATCAGAAATTAAGAATCACATTCCAGATGCAGGTTTAGAGGGAGAAGAGGTGGAGAAAAAGACATCTGAAGGGATGAAARCACTTGTGCCACTTTAAAGAATGTTTTAAAAAACTATAAAAATCCCCTAGAAACGACTCAGAAAATAAGTGAAAGTCACAGACAAGTTTATTGTAGCATGYATCTCAACACTACCATTCCCCACAGTTGTTATCTAGGTCTGTCCATATCATCTAGTGCATCAGACCAACACTGACATCCTGTTCAGGCTTCATAACCATCTTTCCTCAGAAAAACTGCACACAGCAGAATATTAACTGTAAAATAGAGCAGTTTTCACAAGTGTACTTAAAACATGCCAGTTGAGGTACTAACAAGAATCTGAACAAGTCAGGCTTGTGCAACTAAAACAGCTGTTACGTAGAATCAGCTTGTTACTGCACATATTAAATGCTTTAAAAAAATGGTCTCAACTATCCAGCAATTTTCCTCGCTTTAAGGCTTGACTAGGCTAAGAGGCAAATAACAGTTTTAGACATGTTACTCTCTGCAGGATGGGAGGTATTTTTAGATTCCTTCTCCTTACGCAGCTCTTGCATTTTTAAAACGTTTTTGTATTTCTCTCTAAATCAGTTCACTGAAGTAAAATCACTGAATAATTTAAGTCAGAGGGGACCTCTGAAAGAGATCTAAAAGGGCTCTTAAGAGCTCTAACACCCCCMCACACACACAAAAACAAAAAAGAAAAACCCACGCACCAAACAAACAAGCAAACTCCAAACTCAACTTGAAAAATAAATCAATAAATCATGTTTCTCAAGTTTTGACCATCCCTGAGGACCGGTGTTTTATAATCTCTCTGGGCAACTAGAGAAAAGCCAGAGAAGACCAAGTGTTTCATTGGAGAAAAATAAAAGCAAACTGCAGAGTGATCTGAAGTATCTAAAGAGTAGCCACCCAACTTCTTCATAGGAAAATTAGTCCACCTGTCCCTAAATGTACAGTATATACCAGGGGTATGCACCTCGTATGGCATCCTTCTARGCACTTCATACTTACAATAGACTTCAAAATGTCATGCTATTTTACACAAAAAAAAACGTTGGAGCAAGAAACACAAACGTGAAGTTCCTTGAATGTTGAAGCCTTGAAAATCCATGTTTTTCTTCTTTCACTTCCACTGCATCTGGTTTTGATGAAGTGCAGAAATCAGGGTGCCAGGCTAGAAAGCTGAAAGAATTTAAGCAAGTACTTCTAAGCTGGAATCACGACGAAAGTGTCTAAATGCCACTTCATAACACACCAAGTTGAAAAGCCCCAAAAGGATTAAATCCTTGCTTCAGGAAAAAGTGGAGTACTGCTCTCTCAAAATTTCTTGGCCCTTGCTTCCTTTTGTTTAAATTAAAAGTTCTCTAAAATAAATTTTGGTTGAGGAAGAGGCAAAAAACACAGGAAGCTTCAGYCCAAAAGCTGGTTTACAGACTTCTGATCCACAAAGCTAAGCTTGCAGTCTCATATTAATTGAGTCATCCCTTCCCATCCTAAGTTACAAGGCGGTATAAAACCACTCTCAGCTCCATAGGTTAAGCACACACTGCAAGATGCCACAYGCTCTAGGTGTCCCTGCTGGAGCAGGAGGGTTGGACTAGATGATTTCTAGAGGTTCCTTCCAACCTCAACCATTCTGTGATTCTGTGAAGATGTTAAACTGCTGAAAGAGGGATAATTCCATGATG